TGGGACTGGGTTCTTCTCCACAGGGCCTAGGTCACTCCCTGACGTGGCAGCCTCGGAGTAGCATTCCAAGAGGGTGAAAGTGAAGCGGCAAGCTCTCTCTAAGGCTGAGCCTCAGACTTGCATAGCATTCGTTCTTCTGCATTGTATTGGTCAAACCAAGTCAAAGGCCGACACAGATTCAAGGGCTGGGAAAATAGATCCCATCTATTGATGAGAAGTTACTTTGCAAAGGGTCACACATACAGGGATGGGAGAAGCTTGTGGCCATATCTTCCATCTGCTACAGTATGATTCTACTTATATAAAGTAGAAAAGCAGACAAAACCAATTTATGCTGTTATAAATACCTTGGCAGATAGTTCTGAAGGGGAGTATGAGGGAGGCCATCTGCGTTCCTGGATGTATTATGCTCCTTCATCTAGGTTACTAGAGTGTGCTCAGTTTAAGAAAATTCTGCCAGCTATAAACTTAAGACATATGAAGCTCTGTGATGGCTAAACTTGAATTAAAAGTTTATATGTGTGTGTGTGTGTGTGTGTGTGTGTGTGTGTGTGTGGCTTAAAAAGAATGAAGTTCTCTTTCAAGTCACAGTACAGCTGGTCAAGCTGTTGGAACAGCTCAGCTCCTGGAGGTTATTTGGGGCCCCAGGTTCCTTCTTTCTTGTTGTTGCATCATCTTGTCCTTATCTGAATAGCTGAAGCTGTTGCTGGCAGTCTGCATCCCACCTAGTGCAAAGGGACTCAGAGGGGAAATCCTGGACAAACATACTCCTTTGGAGCTAATAGGGTGGAAGTTACATCACTTCCACTCACACTCCACTGAAACCAACTTATTCTTATGGCTGTGCCTAGCTGGGAATGCTGTCTTAGCTGGACTGCCTGTGCTAAGAAGTGCCCATTTCAGGAACAACTAACAGTCTGCTGTGTTTTAATGATGAAGCTGTTCTTTGATAATTATGCTTTAAAAAGGCCATTCAGAAAAAGCTAAGTTCCTTTATCTCAGTGTTAAAAGATTTAAAAAAACAAGTGGGGGCTTCCCTGGTGGTTCAGTGGTTAAGAATCTGCCTTCCAATGCAGGGGACGTGGGTTTGATCCCTGGTTGGGGAGCTAAGATCCCACATGCCACGGGGCAACTAAGCCCCCTGTGCCTCAACTACTAAGCCTGCATGCACCACAACTAGAGAGCCCTAGCGCCGCGACTAGAGATACGCCTGTGCTGCAACAAAGAGCCCGCGCCCTGCAACGAAAGATCCCGTGTGCTGCAACTAAGATACAGTGCAGCCAAATAAATAAATAAATATTAAAAAAACAAGTGACCTGAGTTCTATACTTGCCATTCCTGTGTCAAAATGAAGGCTGTTACAGACTGAAAACAACACGTCTCTCAATACCAGTGCTGAAAACACACATGTGAAGGTACATTTCTGCTGCAACAGCTAAAAGATCGGACATTATTTCTGTTTCAATAACTGTAAACTCAGAACTCCTGGGGAACCTTCTTTAATAATCACTGTTCAGGAAGATAGTGATAATGGGGACTTGTCTGATACTTTGGGGACACCGATGATATTCACTGCATCGCAGTACTTACTGGTAGCTATTTTAAAGAAAATAATCACTCTTTTCCAGGTTATTTTTAACCTCTTAGTAAAAATAAAGGTCCTCTTATAAAATAGTGTAAGCCACCAAAAAATAAATAAAAAGGTCATTAATAATCACTATGCGGGCTTCCCTGGTGGTGCAGTGGTTGAGAGTCTGCTTGCCGATGCAGGGAACATGGGTTCGTGCCCCAGTCCGGGAAGATCCCACATGCCGTGGAGCGGCTGGGCCCATGAGCCATGGCCGCTGAGCCTGTGCGTCCGGAGCCTGTGCTCCGCAACGGGAGAGGCCACAACAGTGAGAGGCCCGCGTACGGCAGAAAAAAAATAAAAATAAAAATAAAAAATTACCATGCATTTTTCCTTCAATATATAAATATTTTCAACTTATATAAGTAAATATATAATTTTGAAAAAAAATTTTAAATATACTTGGCCAGATTCCAAGGGTTTATATACTTTCCTAGAAAAAACTTGGACTTCCCTGGTGGTCCAGTTATAAAGACTCCACGCTTCCACTGCAGGGAACGTGGGTTCGATCCCTGGTAGGGGGACTAAGATCCTGCATGCCGCGCACCATGGCCAAAAAGAAAGAAAAAGTCAAGTGTCTTTGGAAACTTCCTTTATATGATTTTAGAGGGATAGCCTCTAAAATGAAGTGTTCAATGCACAAATGAATGCACTTTAGCAGCCTGTATCTTAGGTGCTGAGAGTACCTGATTAGAGCATATAAGACTGAAAAATCCTATAATACATTTGGATTTATTAATCTATTTTCTACTTAAAATGCACAGATAAGGAATTTTTATATCAAGCATGTGT